TGTGTGTGTGTGTGTGTGTGTGTGTGTGTGTGTGTGGGTGTATGTGTGTGTGTGTGTGTGTGTGTGTGTGTGTGTGTGTGCGCGCGCGCGCGCGCGTGTGTGTAGAACAGAAGAGAGTAAGAATTTTCCCCTGGGTCTTGGTAATAAAGCTAAGAAGTAAAAGACGGTAGTGATATGCCACTCCATTCTTTCTGTTTCTCTCTTTTCTCACGTACACATTTTAAGCTGCAGGTAACCATGGAGAGGTCTGTATCTTAAATAATAAGCAGCCGTGAGTAGTTGTGACATTGGAGAGAGTTGAGAAGAGATATGGGGATTTGGGGTGGGAGTGGGTGTGCAGGGAGAGGAGCCTGGCACCACCAGAGGAGGTGGAAGGACCCTAGACACAAAACTGTGTGGCAGTCTCCATGGTTTGGTCTCTCAGCCAGAGACCGCCCATCTTTGTCACAGGTGTCCTAGTGTTCACCCTACTGTAAAAATGGAAGTGTTAATGAAGTTTTCTTATTCTTGTAAATGGAAACTAAGCTCTGTTGGTTTCTCCCCCTGCTTCTTTCAGATCCCGGTCTCCAGAATCTCCCCCATGCCGTTTCCTACATCGCAGGTCTCTCCCAGGGCTCGTTTTCCAGTCTCCATCACTAGTCCTAACAGAACAGGAGCCAGAACTCTTGCAGACATCAAAGCAAAAGCCCAGCTGGTCAAAGCACAGAGGGCAGCAGCCGCAGCTGCTGCCGCAGCCGCTGCAGCCGCCTCCGTTGGAGGGACCATTCCAGGACCTGGCCCAGGAGGTGGACAAGGTCCAGGAGAGGGTGGTGACAGGAACACTGCTAGAGGGGGGAGTCCAGACCCACACAGAGTCAGTGAAACTGGAAAGGGCCCCGCACTGGAACTGGCAGGAACTGGAAGCAGGGGAGGTGCGAGAGAGCTTTTACCCGGTGGTTCAGAGACTCAACCCCAACCTGAGACCAAGACCACGGGCCAGGCCCAGCCTCATAGTGTCTCTGGAGCACAACTACAGCAAACCCCCTCAGGGCCTCCAACCTCTGGCAGCAGTGGAGCAGGCATCAGTATCCCACCAGCAGCTCACACTAACGCACCCTCATCAGCTTTAGGGAAATTGAATAATGAGAAGCTGCATACCGCCAGGGCAACAGCCACAGGGGCCTCTGTCAGCCTCCCACAAGGGTCCAGTAACTGCAGGCAGGAGAAGGTACCTTCTGCTCCGGCAGGGCCTGCTCTAATCTCAGGTGCCTCACCTGTTCATTTTGCAGCTGATGGCATAGTGGAGCCCAAAGCAGGCTCTAGTAAGAGTACACCAAACCCTTCAGCCTCAGCAGAGACAGTGGCTAGGGCTTCCGTGGATATGACGTCCTCTCCTTTAGCATCTTTATTAATAGCAGCCACTTTAGAAAAGCGTTCTATACCCCAGGCCAGTGTAACTGTAGCACCTACTGGATCAGCTCCATCCTTGAGCGCTCTGCCAGCAGCTTCTAGCCTTAAAACTCCAGGAATTTCTTCAAGTACAAACGGACCCATTTCAAGGACAAGCTCTAGCATCCCTGCTAACAATCCTTTGGTCACTCAGCTGCTCCAGGGCAAAGATGTTCCCATGGAGCAGATTCTGCCTAAACCTCTCACCAAAGTTGAAATGAAAACTGTTCCACTGACTGCAAAAGAGGAAATCGGGATGGGAGCACCCACAGGTCCCAACGTAACAGAAAACAGCACCAGAGAGGAAGTTCATGAGAGGCCGTCTCATCCAGCGCTACAGCAGCTGGGTAAAACCTTGCAAAGTAAGCATCTCCCCCAGGTTCCGAGATCCCTTCCGCTCTTTTCAGGTAAGGATCTGAGGGACTCTGGCATTGACACACACCAACACCCAGAAGGACTAAGTAAAGCAACCCAAGATCAGATCCTTCAGACCCTCATCCAGAGGGTTCATATGCAGAGGCAGAATGTTCTCTCGTTTGTGCAGCCCTCCCAGTTCAACTTCGCTCACTCAGGTTTCCAGTTAGAAAACATCTCCACAAGCCAGAGGTTCATGCTGGGGTTTGCTGGCAGAAGGACATCGAAGCCCGCAATGGCAGGTCACTACTTACTGAACATTTCCACCTATGGCCGGGGCTCAGAGAGCTTTAGGAGGACCCATTCTCTACACCCTGAAGACCGTTTCTGTCTAAATAGCCCCAATGAAGCCTTGAAAATGGGATATACAGACTGTAAAAACGCAATGGGAGATAGTAGCAGCAGCAAAGACGATACTGATGAGGAAAGTACGGGTGATGAGCAAGAATCTGTCATGGTGAAGGAGGAGCCCCAGGCTTCTCAGAGTTTGGGCAAGTGTGAAGCAGGTTCAGGGCCCCCCAGTAGAGAAACTCTATCCACCAGTGATTGTTTAGCTAAAAAGAATGTGATGGCAGAAACACCAGTGCACGAGCAAACCACTTTAAGCAAGGAGAATTATCTGTTCACTAGAGGCCAAACATTTGATGAAAAGACCATAGCCAGAGATTTTATTCAGGCAGCACAGAAGCAAATGGCTCACGCAGTGAGAGGTAAGATGATGCATAGCAGCCCTGAGCTTTTCAACTCCACTGTTCTTCCTCCTGCAGACAGCCCTACCCATCAGCCTCTCCTCCTTCCACCACTGCAAACCCCAAAGCTATATGGAAGCCCCACGCAGCTCGGGCCAAGCTACAGAGGCCTGATCAATGTCTCCACCTCATCTGACATGGACCATAACTCGGCTGTACCAGGGATGCCGGACTGTAGCCAGGTATCCAGCAACGTAGGTGATGTCATGTCCTTTTCAGTGACTGTCACTACCATCCCTGCCAGCCAAGCTATGAATCCGAGCAGCCATGGCCAGACCATTCCCGTTCAGGCCTTTCCTGAAGAGAACAGCATAGAGGACACGCCTTCGAAATGTTACTGCCGATTGAAAGCCATGATCATGTGCAAGGGGTGTGGAGCATTTTGCCACGATGACTGCATTGGCCCCTCTAAACTGTGTGTCTCTTGCCTTGTTGTTCGGTAACGGGACTAGAACACATTGTAAAGGAAGTAGGAAGGGAAGGGTTGACAAGATGTGTTTTTTGCATCCTTTAGGAATCACAGAAATAAATAGGTTTCAGTGGTCTTAAGAGACAAATGTTACTTAAATCAGGAATACAGAGTACAGATCTTACATTTTAGAGAAGAGCACCTTGTATAGTAAGTCTAAGTCAAGCAAGACTTTGTGAATTTGTGACAAGTTTGCACTTACAAAATCATGTAAATATGTCACATTTTTGTTTTAACATTTTTCCTAATGTTTAGGTAATAATGTATTACTTTGAATTCAGATTTATGTTCCACTTCACAGACGGACAAAAGTTGAATGCCATGCGTGGTGAAAGGAGGCATGTCTCCCTTCTGTCCTTCCATGAGAAGCTCGGAAGGAGTGAAGGAATGGTCTGGAGAAGTGAGAAACAACCATTCATGCTGATTATGTTTTGACTGTCTGACTGTAGGCTTTACATGGGTTATTCAGCCTTTGCATAATTTGGATTCAGGATTTACTCAGTCCCTTTCCCTTAGATGCAACCTTCTTAAGTTCAAAATTTTAATATTATTATCATTTCACAACTAGTACTTCAGACTCTGAAAGCTCTGATTGCGAAGCACTTTGCTTGCAATTGGTGGATCCTGCTGTCCCCTCCTCCCACTCACTCCCCTGCCCTGAGACAGTGAATGTGGCCCATGATGGATATGCCTCTCTGGTGGTACCATAGCTTGGGCAGGGCAACAGTCAGCAGTAATATTCAGTGACTTAGTCGTTAACGGGAGCTTACAAACAGGTTTGAAATACTAGTATAAAATTAACAGAAAAGTGTTACTGATGGGGTTGATTTGACCTATGTATTTTGTTGGGCAGTGGGGTAAAGGTGCAAAAACTTGTAAACTGAACGTAAGAACTTTGGAAAAGGATTTTAACATTAGAAACAAGGTGGCCTCTGTTTTCTTCTCTCCCAAACTGTTACCTAAGTTCTGTAGTCAGCTGGTAGAAAACCTCATTAATACCACATTTGTCCACTCTGTTAAACCTGTTTTGACCTCCCAGGCATCTGAGAGGTATGGAGTAATATATTATGTATTACTTTGAACACACACATGTTCACACACATATACACAATAAAAGTCATACACTTTTCCTGTTTTAGAAAATATATCCCTATTTTGGATTACTGCTGCCTGTGCGCTAGAAATTTCTAATGTAAGGAGGCCTGATGTAAATGGCTAAGGGAACATAAAGAAAGGAGAGAAATTAGCCCAAAGTTTTGTCTGTTCTTATTTATTTTTGTTTCCTTTTTTGTTGTTTTCAATCCTGTATCTAGTGACTAAAGAATTTTTGAGTATATACATTTAGGTCGTGGTTAAAGAATATTAAAATAAATTTAAAACTTACCAGAATTTGGTATTAAAAAGTTAGGTATTGTCAATGCGCATCATTTGCATGTTGATTTCAAGTTGCCTAGTTTCAAGTGTGAAAAGTACAAGCTACTGTGACCTAGTACAGTTATAGTTGTACTTAATATTCAGGATGTGATAGTTACAACATGCAGAACAGTGTAAACGTGTTAATTAAGTCACATTCCAGATTAGGAGAAAGTAGGCAGTAATCTTTGCTTTGCCCCCATTCTACTACCCTCTCCTCCCCACGCTCCATGTTATACACTCTCTTAATACTTTCAGACTCCCTAAGAAACTTATTACTGCACTGTTTTTCATTTTCTGTGGGGTTTTTGTGTGTGTGTGTGTGTGTGGCCCAAGTCAAATATAGGATTAATATCTGTGTCCTAGTTTCATCCAAGACAGTTAGATGTCCTTCTAACTTCCCTTTTTCTTCCAGCACACACATAGCTAAGAGACATGAAACCTGCAAGGATCTAGCGATAAGGTTTAAATTCTTTAGCCAAGAACCAGTAGGAAACAGAAACCATGGCTCTGTTCCCAAACTTGTAGTACCCTGGGAAATCCAGGGGGTGCTTGAAAGACCTATGCTGGGTAAAACTTGCCATGCCCAGCTTCCCACTGCCCGCTTCGGTGGCAGGACCGAGGGCTGGTCTGCGTGCTGGAAACGGTTGGGGTGGCAGAACTGACCCCATGTTAAACATTTATCACCAATTTGGGTTGATTAAAGTGATTTTTCTTCTTTGCGACTTCCCTGTCATAGAAAGTTTCTCCTCCATAGTTCCCCTAATCTGAGGATGGACAGACTAATCGGGAAAGGAGGAAAGGCATCAGGGATTTTTTTCCAGTCCATTTAGAGAGCAAACCATATCGTGCCTCTTCATCTTGACCCAGCAGCCTCTTGCAGATGATCCTAAGTATTAATATTCACCAGATTTTCTTAAATAAGACCTAGCTAATAAAATATTTGCATTTTTGAATGCCCATTAAAGCAAATTGTCAGCCAGGTACACTGCCTCAATATTGATCAAATGAAAGAAGAGTTGGGTTCTCTTAGGTCAGTAGTAAATTGAATACAATCCATTTATCAATTTTTCACAACAGTGGTTTCAAGTAGAAAGTTGTTTATCTTACGAGCTAAACAGGAAAGAAAATTACGATCTGGCCCTTTTGAAAAGGAAGCAGCAGGAACAAGAAAATCTTTAAATTATTAGAGGATGGTACTTCAGTACCTTTAAAGCAATTTTTACCTTAGGTTTTCAGAATTACTTTACCTTTCAATTCAATCTGCAATATTTCTATTAAATGCTAAGCTTATTTTTATGGCGTTGAGTTGCACTGTTTCCAGTGACTAGTCAGGCACTGCCTGATGCTTATGCCTCCAGGGTGTGCTTCTCAACACCGTTCAACTGCAGGTCACCTTGGGGAGGGAGAGAGCACTAACAATATATCATCTCAGTCTTGCTTATGAATGTTCTAAATTTTCCAGTGGAGAAGGCTCCCTGGATCTTAAATAAATCTTAAGGAATTTTAATTAAAATTCTCCATCCTATTAAATAGGAAATAAAGCCAAATAACCTGGAATTGTTTGCTCTATTTTTATTCCTTAATCCCTGTGCTCAAGACACTGAAGCTATCTGTGGTTTCCCACGTAACATTTTAAAGGATAAGGTCTGACAAATGTGAAATTCATCTTGGGGTAGGGGGAGCATATTTGCATGGGCTAGGAAGGTACACAGATGCAGATGTTTTAGGAATTGTCTTGGATTTAAATAAAGGGAAGAATTCATCGCCTTCCAGGTGAAGGTATAAATTCATATATATTAATGACCCGACAGCAGTATCCTAATTGCTTATTATTGCCTCTCTCTGCCTTCTAGTCTTTAATAAACTCTTGAATGAAATGATTTGTTAAAATGAGGGGGTCTTCTCTGGTCATGACACTGCTATTTATTTCTAGAATTCATGGTCAGTGAGTAGTGCCAGGGTGGTTTTCTCTGCGACCTGGAGGTTTTACTTTCCCAGCAAGGAGGGAAAGGTCTCCCCGTTGCTTTACAACAATGTGCTAAGTAAAAAACTTGGCCGAGGGTAGTATTCAGCTCCATTTATAGAATAGTCCAAAGAGACTCAGAAACATGATAGGCAGGGATCTTTCCTATCATGTTTCAATACCTACATGCCTGTTGAAAGAAAACAATAGGTAAACATTTCCTAAAGTTGGAAGTAAGAGCTTCATAGATTCTTGGTTACTTTATTTTTTTTAATGCTTTACATTTGATACAATTATTAAAGATCAATTTTAAAAATAGCTTTCCAGTAATATATTTTAAGTAATATATATTTTAATATCTATGTAAAAAGTGACAGTGAAAGATTTTGAATTTCTCATATATGGTATGTGTAATGTAGGACCTCACTGTTAAGGCACAAATGATTTCCAAGGAAGATACTCTAAAGACACTCAGATTATTTCAAACAAATGCAATAAGGGGAAGAGTTTTGGAGTTTATTTTTTATTTTAAAAGAAAATTGACTTATTTACCACAAGCTATTTTTTTCCTTCTGGCTGTAAGGTTTGTACAGACTGGTTTGGTAAATGCTAACCTTTTTGTGTCTTTTGCTTTTTTAAAGGAATTGTTAACGTTGGAATTGAGGGTATGTACAGAGAAGTTGGTGTCAACACCATTTAAAAAGTCATATTTTTTCACAAATATAGAGAAATCATTTTACATAAGAATTTTAAGTATTTGCAATAAATATATGTATATAGATTGTATGTATTCATATATTCTTATTTTTCATTTTATTAAGTAAAAGATAATTAAAGTGAAAATAAAACCTTGGCGTTTTTGGTGAATCTTCAGGTCTGACATACGTCTGAGTGGTGTGGGTAAGGGCCCTCAGTTGTTGCCTTATATGACTTTTGGAAGATTACCACAGATTGTATAGACGGGAGTAAACTGAGTAATTTGGTGAGAATCAGGGTAACATATTTCTTTCAGAACTCTAGTAAAAATAATAAATTATCTTAATCTGTTCGTCTGTTTTCACCTTTGAACTGTTTTATCTCCTAACCACCTAATGTCGCTGGAAAAGTAAAACAAAACAAAACAAAACCATGGTGTATTCTTTTTTTTCTTTTTTTTTTAAATGTGTCCATTGTTTGCTTCTAGAACAAAGAATGGTAAGAAAATATCTCAGGGGGGAAATAGGTTTTCCTTTCTCCACAGTGGTTAATAATTCATTAGCAGACATTCACTGCCAGTGACTTCCAGCGCAGGGGTGTGTGACGAAATACTCTCATGAAGATAATAGGACACTTTTGTTTCCCAGTTTCTCTCTGAGAAATGAGATTCAGAGCCAGTTTTCTGTCCCTGATCTGGACAGGTAGAAGAGCTAGGAGAACCTGGGTTTTGATCTCCCTGGTGTCAGGAAGGGCATTTATGAAAAAGAATTGAGCCAGACGTTAGAAGAGGTAACTGCCCATAGCCCTGTACCAGGAGATAATATGGGATCCTGATGTCCAAGAGAAGTAATGTGGTTGTAAAAACTTGGTTTTAGGTTGTACTTGAGGAAGCAAAATGATACCTAGATGGTCTTTGGAAATAAAGATATATGGCCCATTTTATAAAAATAATATATATATATATATATATATATATATATAGATTTATTGATGACCTGAAAGAAAATAAGGTCAGAATTTCAAGAATGTACCTTAATGACCCATGAAACTGACTTATTCTAGCTGTCCCTGAAATTACTCAGCTGTGGTTACTTTCACTGATAAAAATAGCATATTTTGGAAATTAATAAGGATACATTGAACACTTTTTTAAGAGACAGCCTTACTATTTTTCAAAAATTGAAATTTCAAACATTGGAGTTGCCCAAAGACAGTGAAGATAGTTTCACCATCCAGAAAAACAGAACTCTAAATCTTTAGAAAATACACTATTTCTAAAGGAAATTTAAGTCTCAGGGAACATCTGCGTCTTCATAATTCTCATATATTACAAATAGGAATGAAGGTGAAGTATTGAAGTGTGTGTGAAGCAGTCCATGATGGCCATTTACAAAGACCTCCCCTACCCCATCTCTAGTACATATTTGTCATTATTGAAATGAGCCCCCTACCTCACTGGAAGTAATTCCTATTCAGGCAATGACAGGAGCCTAAAGGTATAGTTGGTCTGCAGTTGAGTGAGAAAGAGCAATATATCCAAACAGCTTCAACTTGAATCCCCAACTATATCAACATCCCAGTCTGAGAAACCTGTGTTTTGGACACTACTGATTTGTCAAAACTGATTTTGACACTGCTTTGGACCACAAGTGGGCTTCAGAAATCCAATTTTGCATAATGTTTCTCACTGGTTTTGTACAAATCATGTTATTTACTAATTCACATATTCATTGAATACCTGTGTGCTAAGCACTTTCTAAAGTGATTATGCACAGGTAACCAAGCAGCCATATAAGCTGTGAAAGGTCTTGCTAAAGTAGTAACCATACAGCACGTGTCTAGTTCAGGGTTCAAGGAGTAATTATGCTACATATTTCCCAAGACTTGTTAAAGTGTCAGTGTAAATGATTTATGAAATAGCGTTGGAGGCACTGGGCGAAACTGACAAACCAGGAAGAAAAAAGGCATTGCCCCTAGATGAAACAACGTGGAAGTGGGGACCCATGTTAATACAAGACCTTTTTTGGTAGCTATCATTGGAAGACCTAGAATTTGCTAATAGAAATTTCAAGAAATCTCAGTAATATCTACATTGACAGAGAAGCCAAAAGCAACCCCTTTCCATTAATTCTGGTCAGTATGTCAGTAAAGATGCTTAATCTTATGTTTAACCCTTTCAAATAACATGGGTAAATAACCCAAAAGAAGATAAAGGGAATTACAAAAAAAACCGATTCTGGCCGGCCAATCAGTGCGTTGGTTAAGAGCTAGCTTGGGACGCCAGAGGGCCCCGGTTCAGATCCCACATATGAGGGCCAGTGACACTGCCTTCTACAGCTAAGATGCTGAACAACAGCTCAACCTGGAGCTGGGCTGCCGTGAGTTGCCGGCGACAGCGTAGGCTGCAGCTCCTGCTGCAGTGGGTTGCCATGGGCTACCGTATGTAGAGCAGCCGCAGTGAGCAGCCATCCAGAAGCTGGTGACTGATCTGCCTCACCCAGGAAGTGCGCAATGATGGTGCCAACTTGGGCCAGTGAAGCAACGTTCTCCACAACTAGACTGGAGAACCAAAAGGACAGCAACTTGTCTGATCCCCTTCCCCCAATTCCCCAGCGCTGTTATCCCCCAATTCCCCAATAAAAATATAAATAAATAAATAAAACCATACTTGGATCTTCATCTGGTAGTCTGGTGAGCAGGAAGTGTATTCCTGACATGTTGCATCCCTGTTTTTTCTCTATAATGGATAAAATTAGTGTTCTTTTTTATTCTAATACTTCAGAATTGGCTTTTTTCTATTTCTACATCACAGAACTTGAATTAAAAGAGGCTTCCACAGCACTCTAGCCCTTTTCAGTGGCCTAAATCCTAATTCTTTGATACTTTCTGGTAGGTAATAAAAGGATAAATCATTATGTTTTGTCAGTGTTTATTCATGAATTTTTCTTACCATTTATCTTTAACCTGGTTTATTGGATTTGCAATTTGAATTCTATATGCCAAAAATACCCACATTCACCTTTCAGTCAAAGAGGTATTAGGTGTATTCCATGATGTAATATAGTCTCAACTCTCCAGGAAATAGAAGGGTGGATATCCTGTATTTTCTCAATACTTGGTGACTTAATAGAAGATTGGGCTTCCTTTCTAGAGACTATAAGGAATCTCTATACCTCCATGGAACTTTCAGTCTTAACCTAAAAGAGGAATCTAGAAAGATTTCCTTGTAACAGGAAGGACAGTCAACCTGAAAGGGAGCCAGAGATCAGCTGTGAGTAAATAGTGGATTCTCCTGAAGAGTTAACTACAAACTCAAACAAGTTTGAGTAGTTTAAAAACATCTGATTTTCATCTTGACTGCAAAACCTAAAGAATGTGTACGGGAGAAGAAAGGTAGACCCAATTGGATTTAAGACAGATTTAAGTAAACTGAATTTTTTTTTTTAAGGTTTTGGGTTCTGATAACATGATGTTAAATTGCCATGAGTGCCACATGGAATTCGATTTGACACATTTTGTGGGCTAAGTAATTGTTTTCTATTGAATCGTAGTGGCAGCTTTAGCCATTATTGATCACGATTTAGGTTTGTGTACCTGTGTCAAGTGACACAGACATTGGCTCATAAACACTATTAAACCAACTTCAATCAACAATTTTATTAACTTTAATCATGGAAACCTCTTTTTAAATATTTAAAACTCAGATTAGCCCAATAAGAAAGCAGTGTATTAAATGCTATCAAAATATCTGAAGATACTTTAGAACTATTATTTTACACACAGCCTATGTTCTGCCTATGGAAAAGGCAGTACATAAAATTTTACGTTTCTGGGTTCTTTTCAAAGAACCCAGTGTCTAATGTTTTCAGACACTTAGAGCTTAGAAATGGAGTTGGACTTTGACCCTCAGTCAGCAATTCTTTGCATTTTAGGTTTTTAGGCAGTAGCAATTTGTTGACTTCAGTAGTGGCCCCAGCTGAACCTTAATTTAATCACTGCACAAGCTTTAAATTAATGAAACTTCCAGAGTCTCAAATTTGGTTTCCCTCTTGTATAGGAGCTAGATTCTGGGCTGGGAAGAACCTGATAAATTTGTTCTCTGATAATAAACTACTGATTAATGGGCAAGTTTGTTCTTAGAGAATTCATGAAATAACATGTAGCCCATGAAAGATCCAGAGTACGTGACAGATGAAACTTTAGAACTTAAAATCTTTTCTCTTAGCTGTAAGTGCTATGACCTATTTTTTAAGAACCCATCTTAATTTGATGACTCATTGCATCACACCTAAAGACTTGCACCAGCACCAAGAGAAATCAGAATGGAAGGAATGGCCTTATGCTGGTCTTGTTCACTTTGAAATCTTTATGCACATAGGTCTTAGCACTTTGACAGATAAAACTCTGCCTTTTACAATAGTTCCTTCTCACTATTGTCTTTATCCCTCTCACTTTTAGACTGTTCCTTGAATTGGTTGTATAAAACTACCTTCTTCAGAATTGAATGTATAATAATGTTTCTGCACATGGACAAACTGTATTTTATCTTAATGACTCATTTTATGTTGAATAAAGGCATCCAACTTTACCCTAGCGAATGTGCCTTTTCTTTTCCAAAGAAACGAGACACCATGGGAATGACTTCCTTACCTTCTTATTAAATGTTCCCTTGTGCCTCATGGCACAGGCATCCCTGGGTTCTGGCTAAGTTTGGGCACTACAGAAGGTGCCAGTCTTTCCAGGCAACAAAGAGGGTTAAAAGAACTCAACATGAGCTGGAAAAACTGTGTGTGTATGTCAAAAATAAAACAAATCCATACTGCAAAGCTACAGTAATCAAAACAGTGTGGTAATGGCATAAACACAGATATACAAACCAATGGAATAGAATAGAAAGCTTAGAAATAAACCCTTGCATATGTGGTCAGATGATTTTGGACAAGGGTGCCAAGACTAGTCAATGAGAAAAGGGCAGCCTTTTCAATAAATATTGGGAAAACTTGATATCCACATGCAAGAGAATGAAATTGGACCCTTCCCTACATCATATACAAAAATTAACTCAAAATGGATCAAAGACCTAAACATCAAGAGGTAAAAATATAAAAACTCTTAGAACAGGGAAAGCTTCAAAATTTGAATTGACAATGATTTTTTGGCTATGATGCCAAAAGCACAGGCAACAGAAGAAAGTACAGATAAATGGGATTTCATTAAAAATGAATGAATGCCGGGCCGGCTGAGTGGCGTGTTGGTTAAGAACTGGCCTGGGATGCCAGAATGCCCGGGTTTGGATCCCACATATGAGGGCCAGTGACACTGCCCTCCACAGCTAAGATGCTGAACAACAGCTCGACCTGGAGCTGGGCTGCCATGGGTCACCGGGCGACAGCATGGGCTGCAGCCCCTGCTGCAGTGGGTTGCCATGGGCTACCATGTGTAGCCGGCAGCCAGCCTGAGTAGCCAGCAGCCGCAGTGAGCGGCCATCCAGAAGCTGGTGACTGATCTGCCTCTCCCGGGAAGAGCGCAAGTGCAATGATGGTGCCAGTGAAGCAACATCCTCCACAACTAGACTGAAGAACAAAACAACAGCAACTTGTCTGTTCCCCTTCCCCTGATTCCCCAATAAAAT